ACTAGAAGAAAAAGGAATAATAGATAAACAGATACAGAATAATGTGGATACGGGAGATAATCTTATGGATATTATCATAAAACATGAGAAAAATAATTCTCAAAAATGATTTTCTCTGCCACTTGAATAATTTTTTATTGTAGATAACAAAATATCTGTAAATTAGTACTCCATGGTTTGTGTAAATGTAAATGTACACGAATTTAAAAATATTTGAAATTTTTTAAATTTAGCAAAAGGTATATAACTACGCTGTAAAAAAAAATAAAATAAAATAAAAAATAACAGGTGAAAGCCTGCCTATGGGGAATGTACACTGTTGTTTGGAAATAAAAACAAGTAAAAAATTAATAGGTAATATCTCAGGTGATAAGTGTACTGAAGAAGTGTTAGGTAGGGCTAGGGCATAGATGACATTTTAAATGGAATGGCCAAGAAAAGCCTCTTTTGTACAGTGACATTTTAGAAGAGATATGAACTAATTTGGGGAATGAATAGAGGAAAGGAATTTTCCAGCAGAAGAAATAGCAAATGCCAATCTCTTGTGGAAGAAACATGTTTGTTGTATTTGGGAAAACTTCAAGGAGATTAATATGGACAGAGAAGGCAAGAAGTAGATCAAAATGAGTTAGGTCACAGAAAAAGGGCATGCAGATGATTAAAGCTCTGTGGGTCAAGCATAGCCTTTGAATTAGGATGGATGTCTGTGAATGAATACATGATCTGATTGATAGTTTGGAAGTGAAACAAAGATTGAAGCCAAGATACCTGTAATCTGACCTTACAAAAACCTGTAGAGACTTAATACTCTTATGTTTACTTTTTCTGTCTGTTCATTCTTTATTTCATTTTCTTCCAACCCAGGACTTCATCATTCAATACATATTGTAATAACTGAGACAACTCCAGTGAACTCTGAGTTTTAGAATCTCTATTCAGTAAAATCTTAATCCTAGTAATTGATGAAATTTTCTACACTGCAGCTCTACCAAGAAAACTAATCTAAAAGAAAAGCATGTCTTTTTCATGTTTTCTAAATGTGGAGCACAACATTGCTTAACAACAATTTTTCTTTTATGTAGTTTTATAGTCTCATTTTTTCTTTCCAATAAAATGTCCAAAGATATTATTAGTTTTCTAAAGCATCGAATTCATCTGATCCACTAGTAAATCCCAGAAGAAAAAACTCTACATATTTTGAAAAAGAAAAATTAAGCCCATTTTGCATAGCCTCTTTAAACTTGCCACTCTCAGTCTCCTGTAAGTTACTATACATGTAATTAAATTTCTAACTTTCTCCATCTCAAATCCTTGAGGTGATTCTCAGGTTTTTTAAAAATATTTTCTTACTGTTATCTATTTTACATTTCCTCCTCTATTCTTAAAGAATTATAAAATTAATATACTCTTTCCAATGAAGATTTTTGTGTTTAAAAGGATAATAAAATCATGTTTGCGTTTGGGGCATTTTTATTTACAATGTATTTTTATATATTCTCATTTAGCTGAATTTTAACTATTATTATAATACCTTAAATATAAGAAAATTTAATTAGAGAGATTCAGCAACTGCCAAGTTCACAGCCACATTTGTTTATGGAAATGAATATTTCCTTTGTAATATTTCAACCTCTTGGCTTCCGCAATGTACAAACTGCTTAGAAATACATCTCTTCTCTGCTCATCTTCACTACCACAAATATTTTCATGAATTTTCTATTTTCATCCCCATATTACATCAGCACTAACCAGGACATCGCTCCTCAGCTTATTTTCTTCTGATTCTATGCATCCCTCCTGTATGATCTATTCTAATTTCATAGTCTTGGTTATAATTAATAGGCTTATAAGTCCCCAATCTGCAGCTCCAGTATGGGTCTTCATCTCCCAATCTTAGTCTCATGTAATTAGTCCTATCCTGAATTTCTCTATCTCTTTGAGCCTTTAATCTTGTTTGACTCTCAAATTATATGAAAAACTCCTTAAGCGTAGGAGTAAAGCTAGACACATGACATCTCCAGAATAAAGGGGATTCTGTCTTAGTAGACTGTCTACTAAATAACATGCAGTACATGTTATCCCATATAGCTCAATAGGAGTATTTTTCATTTTAGTAATTCAAATAGGAATACAACATAAATTTTATTAAATGAATAAACACCATATATTTTGGTAACAAACTGTCCCATGCTTTCTTCAAGGGAGATTTGGAAAAAAAGGAGGAGAAGGAGGAGGAGAAGCAGAAAATGGTGGAAGAGGAGCACAGAGAAGAAGACGAGAAGGAGGAGGAGGGGGAGAAGCAGAAGAAGGAGAAGAAAAAGGATAAAAGCCCAGCATAAATATCACTGTAAATGCCCATTCATGGGTTGCATCCATAAGCAACCAATGTATTGCCACAACTATGATAAAACAGTAACTCTTTGTTGATGTTTCCCTTGTCACTGAAAGGCATGGCCTTTTCAAAGAACCTGATATTTGCTTATAGAGGACCTTATATCTGTTTTATTTAATTATAAAACATGAAGTCACGTTCTGGCCCATCAGTCTTCTGAAATGGCCTGCCGTTCCAGGAAGGTAAGACTATAACTGGCAGGAGAAGGTCACTCCTGTGTTTCTAGTCCACCATGCTCATTCCACCTGTCATACATAATCCCCACGCTTCCTAAATCGGAGAAGCAGAAAATCATAGGCGAAATAATGCCTACTTTTGGGTATTCCAACATAAAATGTATATCACTTAGATTGGATTGTAGTTTTTAAATGAGTATATTTACACCTATCACAATTTCTTAATTGTAGTTTGCTGTTTGGTAGTGCTTTTGGACTATTTGCTTTTTGCTTACTAGAACATGAATATCTTAGATCCACCAGAACTGGGCCTAATATTGTTAGGTCAACAAACAAGTGAAGTAAACCATAGGGAAAAGATGATAGGAGAATGAAAGGAAAAGAAGAAAGGAAGGAAACCATTTGACATTTTGCAATTAATTAAAGCAGGGTATATTTTTTCAAACCAGACATAGTTCAGTAGTTACTGAACCATGAGATGGTACAGGGGCTCATGCTTGTAATCCCAGCACTTTGAAAGGCCTCGGCACCAGGATTACTTGAGTTCAAAAGTTCAAAAACAGTGTTGGCAAAATGGTGAGACCCCCATATCTATAAAAAATAAAAAATTAAGCAGGTGCAGTGGTGCATACCGGTAGCTCTACCTACTGAGAGGAGGTTCGCTTGAGCCCTGCAGTTCCAGACTGCAATTAGCTCTGATTGCACCGCTGCACTCCAGCCTGGGTAATGAATGCAGTACATGGATCTATTTAAAAAAAAAAAAAGTCACTGAATTCTATGTAACTCTTTTCCATTAAGTATATAAAGGGAATAGGTTTGTTTTATGCCTAGAAGGGAACTTGTATCTATGATGCTTAGAAATTCCATGCCAAAAGAACAAGATTAATTTAAATCTGATTTTCTTTAATAATATATTTGCCTAAATAAATAATTTATGTTCTTGTGTATCACCTAGAGAATACCATAATTTCCAATAGTACTGTTGAAATTAGCACAGATGATTTATCTAATAAATATTTCCTTTAAAAATCACACACAAATTTATTTTATTGTATTTTCTTATTTTACTTTAAGTTCTGGAATACTTGTGCAAAACATGCAGATTTGTTGCACAGGTAAACATATGCAATGATGGTTCGCTGCACCTATCAACCCATAATCTACATTCTAAACCCCACGTGCATTAGCTATTTGCCCTGATGTTCTCCCTCCCTCCTGCCCTCAACCACAGGCCATGATGGATGTTGTTCCCTTCCCTGAATCATGCACAAATTAAAAACATCATTTCAATTAGTGTGATCAATCGAAAGATAATGCATTTACAACTCTGTTACGTAGCCTTTCAATCCTTAAAGTACACAAACCATCTCCTGAGATCTTCTTAAAATTCATTTTCCAGATGTACACCACAAGATTCTAACTCAGTAAGTTTGGAAAAGTAGACTAATAATCTAGATTTCAACAGGCACCAGCTGATGCTGATTGCGATGGTCGTATGTGACACAATCTGAGGAACAACGGACTGGCCTGTATAACTTATCTGAACTTTGGAAATGAGTTTTTAATACTTACCTCTTAACGCATCGAATTATTCAACCAGTAGCAAGTAGGTGAATTTTTATACATGTTTGCCTATGAATTAAATTAGAAATCTGTTTTTCTCTTTCTGTGTAATTCAGTTATTTCCACAAATGGCCTCCATAAAGACATATCAGCCCCTGAAAACTCCAGGGAAGCAACCTCAAATTTCTAAATGTGATAAATCAGTTTTATGTGAGAGATATATGGCCAAGCACCTAGAATCTTTTGAAATTAAATATGAGAATCCTTTTATCACATGGTATCCAAAAAGTAACTGAGTTTTGGCAAATGTTTTTTTTTTCACTTTATTACTTAAAATATTTTAAGTCAATTAAGAAGTTAAAAATACAAGATAAATAATGATTTGTAGTAAAACTTTTGAAGTATAGAATGACTCCAATTTTATTATGCTAATTATCACTATTTACTAGAAAATGTATAAAATTTTGATAACATGGTTAGTATTATTTTTGACATAGCGCTGTTCCACCTGGAACATATATTTGTTGTATATAGTAGTTGATGATATTCTACCAAAATACCTTTATCACTGTATTCATTTCTGTGCCTGGTTTCCTCCACCATGCTTTTCTGTTGTCTGACTCACTGATGCCTGGACTAACATCACATGCCTGGATTAACATGTGATGGGTCCATTTGCTTTCTGTTTCCTTTCTCTTCACAATCATCTATTGTAAAATCACCTGGTTAAGTTTATTTTTAGAATTTGCAGAGACAGATTTTGGGCATTACGTTCCATTTCCATCATACGATCTGCTAAGTGATGTTATTTGGAAAAACAAAAGGGAGATTCCAGTGTGTTTAAATACCTCAGCCTTCTAAGAAAGGACATCTCTTGAGGCTTCACCTCAGCTTCACTGACTTCTTGACTCTCCTCTTGAGGAAAAGGTAATATGTTCAAGTACAATCTAATATAATGTCTTAGCATAGCTTTTGTTTACTAAAATCAATTGTAACCCACTTATGAAAATGTATATTATCTATTGATAACTTCTTATAAAGAAATAATGATCTTTTACTGGAATCTGAAGATGAGTTCCAGATATCAATTCCTATGAATTAACACCAGCAATCAACATGCAAAATAAATAATGTGGAATATGGTAATGTACTACATCCTCTCTGATGGTGGGGCCTCAATGAACTCTTTTTATTTCCTTGCCTAGATACCTACTTTCTTAATTATTACTTTTACATTTAACTTAAAGTAGAAGTTCAAATTTTACAAGAAGATACGGATACATTCTCTCTTTGCAAATGTATTATTATAAAAGTTTATTTTTTTAATTTACTTTCTTCTTAATAGTAAACTATTTGATTACTTTTTTCACTGACCTTTCCATCATTTAATACAGTTCTGTTATAATGCAAAACATATGCTGTATAACAATTAGTCTCTTCAATCATACTAATTTATTTAACTCATTTATTTTACTCATTCATATGTGTTATGGCAGAAAAGAGTTTACTGTTCCAAATTTTTATTATTGTGTTACTTGGTAAAATATGTTTTTCAAAATCATTAATTATGTATGGATTACCTATATTTATTTATCTATCAGTGTATATGTTAGTAAAAGAAGACCACTTTCTTACAACAACACAAAAATTTTCGTGCCTTTTGTATCATAAAGAGTTTTAGTAGGATTTACCTATTAGATAATAGAAAAACTTCAAGATATACATAATTTTTATAGTTAGTTCTACAGTAGAAGTTTTCATTGAAATGAGTGAAGCAAAATGAATGAATGAATAAATAATAAAATGAATGCCAAAAAATATGAATTCTGCTGTCTATGATAGAGATGTAGGGCTGTTCAAGAGCAGGACATTTTTTTATAATTAGACAAAAAATGTTACTGTAATGTTCTATCACAAGTGACAGGTAAGAGAGATTAAAAAAAAATTTTACTTACCTATTGATGAATTATTTCACAGCTGCAATTAACAAGTAAAACTATATGTAACTGTAAGTCTTGTGGTAATTGTATTTTCCAATGGAAATGCTTTTATTTACATGTTTGTAATTTAAAAATAAGTAATCTGCTTTACTTTTTTGTATCAGCAAAGGAACTGGATTCACTTGCATATGCATAATTACAAAAATATGGCAGAGTCCCAGATGAGGGTTTGTTGAATAATATTACTTGAAATATTAAATAATCTTCACCAATTCAACTTCTCAAAGTAGCTACAAACATTTTCCCTTTCCAAACATGTTCATTTTGTTTTTCTGTAACCAATATCATTCATGTTCTAATCTCAGGGTTAAACCAGCTATTCTCCAATAGAAACCTGGCTCACATTTGCTGACCTTATTATAAAGCAAGTCTTCATTGCTTGTCATTCTGTCTTCTAAATATCCACTTATAAACCTTAATTAGCATTCTTAATGTCAACATCTAAGTCCCCTGCAATGTCACAACACCCTAAGTGGTCATGTTTTCTCCAGTTTTGTCCTCCCTACATGCTGAACTGTCTGCACTTTCAACATGCTTTCTGCACTGTTTTATTTCTTTGCAATCTCACAACACTTCCATTTTCTCATTCCGTATAACCCAACTCAAGCTTGCTTTTCTTCATTAACCACTTATTCCCATTCTCCTGGTCTATTTAAGATGGCCAATTGTGTGTTTCTTTAGCATATTAATATTTCCAAATCCGAGCACGCACCTTTACTTATCAATTCATGAGGCCCTGTCCAGGGCTCACACCTGTAATTTGAACATTTTGAAAAGCCAAGGCAGGAAGATTGCTAGAGCCCAGGAGTTTGAGAAAAGCCTGGGCAGTATAGTGAGACTAAAAACATTTCCTACTAAAAGAAAAAAAAAAGAAAATATCTGGGCATGGTGCCACATATTTTCAGATCTAGCTATAAGTGGGACTAGGGAGGCTAAGGTGTGAGGATGGCTTGAGCCCAGGTGATCCAGGCTGCAATGACCTATGCTCAGGCCACTGCACTCTGGCCTGGAAAGCAGAGCATGTCTTCCAGTGCTTTGAAACATAGTGTGACCAATAGAAGTTTGTTGAATGAATGCAAGAAAGAATGTGATTACTGATTTTTCATGTATGATTTTATAGGACTCAGCCAACTATGAAGTTTCTTGTCTTTGCTTTCATCTTGGCTCTCATAGTCGCCATGGCTGTAAGTATATCTGGAAATTTTAAAGAATACATTCTTGGTACTTATCCCAAGGGTCTGCCTTATTCCTTTTGTTCTGGCATACACTCATGTTGACTTCAGTACAGCTTTATAAGCTTAAATATTTCCATATAAAAAATTCTTTGAATTAATCTATGTAAGTTCTTTAAGGACTTATAAAAGATATCTATCACAGACATATAAACACTCAAGTACAATTACTTTAATGTAAAAGTAAAAGAAAATTAAGTGAGCTTCATAAATATTTGGGACTGAGAACTGTGAAAATGTCTTTATAGAAAGCTCTAGACCATCGGAAGTTAGAAATCTGAGAAAAGAATAAGGTGCACAAAGTGGAACCCAAGTATTAGAGGGTGTCAGAATAGGAATTTTCAATTCATTTCTTGCACAACGTAACTGTTAAAGTTAGCATACAGTTATTTAATTCTTTCCAAAATAGACCTGCCTATATTATACCATAAAACAGATCTCTGTATGTATTAAGTGTCATGAGTTCCCAGCTTATGTTGTCATTTACTATTGTATATTACTAGGTAAAGCACTTGATCTCTCTGGAGTTCTTTCTAATTCACTACTTCCACCTCCTCTTCCTCTTTCTATGAAGTTAATAGAGAATTGGTCACAAAAGAATAATAATACTTCATCTTATTCACTAAATTATAAAGAATGTTTTAAAAACCAAATTGGTTATGAGATCACAATTTATCACATTATTTTAGTATAAAAAGATAGAAGTAGAAAACATAAACATATAAGAAGAACATAGAAAAATATAATGCCTGCCTCTATTAGCAAATAAAATATTTGTATGTTAGTAGCTTTTGAGCTAAATAGAACATATTCATGTAAAAAACAAACCAGTGTTTCATTTTACAGTTTCCACTCTCTTATTTGCCAGTTATAGACATTTCCTGCATTTCATAAAATGATGTATAAATCAAAATTAATTGATATTTGAATATAGCACATTAGTTATAGAGAAGTTTATCCTTCACTCATCTTAAAGGTGTCATAAAGCTAAAATAACTAACTTAGTGTGTCATCAACCCAAGAATGCCTCCATTCTGTTCAATCACAATTGTGGCTAGGTCAATATTTATACTTACTCTTGAATTATAAAATTAAAATATTAATTATTTTCTAATTTTCTTTTTTTCCAAGGGAGCTGATTCACACGAAAAGGTAAGACATTTCTATTTACTGGAAAACTTAATAATCAAACTTATATTGAATTTTTAATCTTTTCTTTTCATTTCACAGAAACATCATGGGCATAGAAGAAAATTCCATGTAAGTGTTCTTCTGATAATTTGCACTCTGAATAAGTTTTCTTCTCTGATTATTTATTCTCCTAGAAGAATTGACAGTTGTCCCTCAAAAATATGATATCATTAATTGCTAAAGTGTACATTGACTTCATTTATTTATGATGCAAAGGCAAAAAGTCAAAAATATCTTGTGTCCCAACAGCATTACAGCAGAAAGTTCCACCCTGAATAAGTCAATTGTTACTTATTCTCTGAGAACTTAAATATCTTTGTCCTGTAAATAATTACATTTACCTAAAGAATAGTTGAAATCCTAATTATATGAAGTATTACATATGCCTAGTGAAGCATATAAGCAACTCATTTAATATGGTCTGTTACTACCTTCTGAATGTTTGAAGATGATAAACCCATTAAATTAAACTGACTATGCTAAATTAGAAAGAAAATTTTATTTATTTAATATTTTTCTAAATGTTTGTATATAAAATCTCATATTATTTTGACCTGTAATATCAACATGAATAGGGGATCAAAAATTCTCCTTAATAGTATAGAAGTACATATGTTAAAAAAGCACCAAGTAAAAATATACATAAAAATGGATGAGGACTATTTTTCATAACAGTAGTGGGTGTGAAAGAATGTAGTAATTGTAAAGGAAGGTAAGCTCACTAAAAGAAGGAGATGAAGAAGCACCACCTAAGTTGGAAACAGTAACTTACTTTCCATAATACTCAATAGTGAGCAAAATAGTAGCTTGGAGGAAATATATTAAAGAAGATTTAAACCATTTATAAAGAGATTACCTATAATCAGTGTTTCTACATGTGATGTTGTCACAAAAATGTCAACACAGTAAATACTTTACCATTTCACCTGCTTTTAAATGTTTTTCTGACAAAAAAAGAAAAATCTAACTAAAAGTTTGAAAACCTTTATGTAGATAATATACAGGGTCCTAACAACTTTAACATCTAAGCTTTTAATGATACTTTTTGTGAAACACTTGCACTGTCGTTGTGTTTATTCTCTGCAATTTGCTCTCTACTTTTTTGTGTATGCAGGAAAAACATCATTCATTTCGAGAATATCCATCATATGGATACTCTGGATCAAATTTTCGGTTTGACGATTGATATCCTCAGTAACCATGGGGCATGATTATAGAGGTAAGCTGACTCTAGTTACTTTTCTTTCTAGGACTATCAAGCTCAACAGTTAAAACAAGAAAAAACAAACAAACAAAAATATGCCTTAAAGCCAACCACCATTCCTGTTTAGGAAATGTAGTATGGGTTACCCCTTGAAGTGTATTTATTTATATAAATGCTTCTGAGGCTGTAGCTGTCTGGCATTATTTCTTAGGTCTCCATTCTATTCCATTGGTCTGTTGGTCTGTTTGGGTGCCAGTACCATGCTTTTGTGGTAACTGCAGCCTTGTAGTATAGTTTGAAGTCAGGTAGCCTGATGCCTCCAGCTTTGTACCTTTTGCTTAGGATTACATTGGCTACATGGGCGCATCTTCGGATCCATGTAAATTTTAAGCAGTTTTTCTATTTTGATGAATATTGTCAATGGTAGTTTGATGGGCATAGCATTGAATTCATAAATTATTTGGGGCAATATGGCTGTTTTCATGATATTGATTCTTCTTATCCATGTGAATGAAATGTTTTTCCATTTGTTTGTATTCTCTCTTATTTTCTTGAGCAGAAGTTTGTAGTTCTCCTTGAAGAGGTCCTTTGTTAGCTGTATTCCTAGGTATCTTATTCTTCTTGTAGCAATTGTTAATTGGGAGTCACTTCATGATTTGGCTCTCTGCTTGCCATCTGATACTCAACAATCCTGACAAAAACAAGTAATGGGGAAAGAATCTTCAATTCAATAAATAATGCTGAGAAAACTGTCTAGCCATGTGCAGAAAACTGAAACTGGACCCCTTCCATACCCCACATACAAAAATTAACTCAAGATGGCTTAAAAACATAAATGTGAAACCCCAAACCATAAAACCTGAGAAAACTTAGTTGACACCATTCAGAACATAGGCATGGGCAAAAACTTCTTGAAGAAAATGCCCAAAGCAATGGTAAACAAAAGCTGAAATTGACAACTGGCATCTAGTTAAACTAAAGAATGGTTATACACCCAAAGGAATATAAATCATTCTACTGTAAAGACATATGCACACATATGTTTATTGCAGTATCATTTACAATAGCAAAGGCTTGGAACCAACCCAAATACCCACGAATGACGTAAGGGATAAAGAAAATGTGGTGCATATACACAATGGAATAGTATGCAGCTATAAAAAGAAATGAGATCCTGTCATTTGCAGAGACGTGGATGAAGCTGGAAGCCATCATTCTCAGCAAACTACAGGAACAGAAAACCAAACAGCATATTGTCTCACTCACAACTGGGAGTTAAACAGTGAGAACACATGGACACAGGGAGGGAAACAACACACACCAGAGAGAGGGAGTAGGGGCTGAGAGAAGTAACTCAGAGGACTGGTCAATAGGTGCGGCAAACCACCATGGTGCACGTATACCTATGTAACAAACCTGCACTTTCTGCACATGTATCCCAGAACTTAAAGTAAAATAAAAAAACAAAATAAAATAACCTCTGAGGGAAAGCTTCTGTTCACTACTGTTAAGAGACTGAGTTCTGGGTGAAAGAAACTCTTACGTTTGTATCCTTGACCCTGACAACCAAGTTTCATGACCTTGAACGATTTCTAATCTACTCCAAACCTCAGTTTTCTAGTAGACAAATAGTTATAATCATACTTAAGCTCTTTACAGTATTGGTAAGAATATTGAGCAATATTATTTAGAAACCCTTGATCAGGAAGGTATATGATTGTGGCCACAGGCTTCTCTGCCACTGGAAGTTATTTGAAGTTTTCTGTCCTAAAATATAATCTTTGCAGAAGTTGCACAGCCACCATCTGGGAACTCATGAGAAATTTACACTTTATGCCTAAGTAACTTTAATGAGCAATTGCTATAGGAATTACTAATATAATATCAACAAGGAGATGGGAATTTTCAAGGAAATAGGAAATGGGAAATGGTAACAATTTCCTTTTTAGAAAGTCGGTTTTATTTATCTATATTCACAGCATATAATGCTACAAAATCTATGAGATATTAAATATTACACTACAAAATAAAGCAATATTTTTGAAATTAAAGAGTGTGTTGACAATTCAAAGTTGAAATAATTCATAAGATTTCAAATATTTTTAAATGTATAGGGGCATTTTATTCCTATTGAATTTCTGCTCTTTGTGATATGGGGAAAAAGCCTGAAGTTGATGAGATATTTGCTGATGACATTTAAGGAAAGATATATTTAAAATATTATTTGGTGAAAAGAGATGAAATGTATAGGCTATATTTAAGTGACAGAATAAAATAAGATGATGATGGAAAACCTTAAAAATTTTAAATTTAAATTGCAGATGCTGAATGATAATTCTTACTTATTCTGATAGTCACTTAATGAGTATTTAATTGTCTACTCTGTCTCAAATATTATTTTGGTCCCTGGATTATAATAAATTAAACTGTCTATAAATAGATAATACTAGGAAGAGTATAAATTTATTCACAACAGTATCGATTTTGGAGATAAAGTATTATTTTCTTTTTCTTCACAGGTTTGACTGGCAAATTCACTTTTCACACCTGTGTTCTCACCTGTCTTGAAGAATTATCAGAAGGCAATGCAGAATAAAAGAATGACCATGATTTAGTGCATTCTGTGTTTCATGATACTTACCTTCCAAATTATCATTTGATTAGATACTTGAAATTTAAACTGTTAATCTTTTTTCATTGCTGTTTCTGAGTAAATTAAATTCATTCTTCTCTAAAACAATAAATTTCAAGCACACTATTATGTGTATGCTATGTCTCTTTTTTGTATTTACATACATAAAGCTTTCTTTCTTTACTTCACTTTCCCAGTTTGAGTAGCAATTATGAATTCAGCATGTTATATTTATTCATTTTATCTTACAAACACATGGTCCTCCATCACATCTAGATTACTAGACCTATTGATGACAACATTTGATTTGTCTCCAGTGTCCTTTGCCACAGCACATTTCTTAGCCTCGAACATTCTCACATTTCTCATCTCAGGCCCTTTAGGCCAGAAGTTAACTCCCATGTCACTCCACAGCAGTGCACAAGCACTCAGAACACAAACCACCTAATATTTTCTCTCGGTTTGTCAATATATCTATTGAGCAAAAATGTATTGAGTGATCCCAGCTGTCAGACACTGTTCTAGATGCTGCAGTCACAGAAAGAGAGTCTAAAGCCCTGCTGTCAGATCTTTTACATGCAGTTGGGAGATGAAGACAAAAAGTAAAGAAACAACACATGACTATGGCAATAATAAGTGTGCTAAGGAAGTATAAGGCAAGACTCGTATATAGAGACAGCCTCAAGTAGGAGGGTCAAGGATAACATCTCTGGTAGAATGACCTTTTAGAAAAGATTAAGTTAAGTATGAGAGTGAAGATGAAGAAAGACATTTTCAAGCAGAAGAAATAACAAGTACAAATCCATTGTGAACTTTTGGTTACATATGAGTTGTAGAATAGTTTTTTTTCACTCTTGTGTAAAATAATGGTAAGTTCATAGGAGTGACATTGAATCTGTATATTGTTTTGGACAGTATAGCCATTTTAATGCTATTGATTCTTCTAATCCATGAACATGGAAAGTTTTCCATTTGTCTGTGTCTTCTGTGATTTCTTTCAGCAATGTTTCATAGCTCTCCCTGTAGAAATCTTTCACCTCCTTGGTTAGATGTATTTATAGGTTTTTATTTTTTGTGGCTATTGTAAATGAGACTGTGTTCTTGATTTGGTGCTCACCTTGTACATTATTCATGAATAGAAATGCTACTGACTTTTGTGTACTAATTTTGTATCCTAAAACTGTATTGAAGCAGTTTTTCAGTTCCAGGAGTCTTCTGGTGGAGCCTTTAGGG